TATCTTATATACTATTACTATCTTTCTAAATTTTCATACTTAATTAACACGATTACCAAGTTAGTGTCTTCAATCTTAAAACAATTTACAACCCAACAAGTTGAAATTTCTAATACACCGTGAAATCAAATCCTTTCTATATTTATTTCATATTTCATTCTCTATTCCTATCTATATTTTTCACTGGCAATTTCACATTTATTTACATGACAAATTATAACGTCCTATTTTTTGTATTAATTAAACTATGTTGGTGATTTAAAATACTTCTCATCCTAAATTATCCAAATTTTCAGGTTAAATTATTATAATATCACAAATTAATTATTTCTCTTATCTTTTATTTTTCGAGCTGACTATTACACTTTCCATTTTATTATGTCAATTTATTTTAGATTATTTAAGATATATTTAGATTTATATTCCACTTCTTTAAAAAAACATTTTCAAACGGCCTGACATTGTCCTCTTATTGTTCAATTGATTTTCTAAAATTTTAAATTGTTTGTCGTACTCCAATCCGTTTATCTCTGTCGAATTTAAACCATCTGTCTTAATCCCATGTGGCTCGGTCAGAGTCATTATTTCCCACTCACCTTCTACGCTTTTACATAGCTGCTTGAGTGGCCGTTTCTTACTAGCTCTATAAAAGCTCGAAACCCATATTACGGATTTTGAGTATTTAACATAATTATAATAATATAGTGATACTTAAATTATTACTGCGCGAAAGAGTTTAAAATTTAAAATTGCATTCCTTCCATGTTAACTTATAATTCCCAAAACGATCTATTATAATGTCTTAAAACCTAAAACAAGAAAAACTATTACAAAACGATAATTAACCTCAATTCAAGTCTGGTGGGATGGAAATAAATAATATCCTAGCTATTTTTTCACTCTTCGGGATCCGAGTCTTAATCGTTTTGATATGAAATAGTTAATAAAAAAGGGGTGAGGTACACTAGTTTAATAAGAATATCAAAAATCTTATTACCGATACAGTAACCGAAAGATTGTAGAAAACCAAAAAACAATCAATAGAGCATACTTTTTTTTTGAAATCCAAATGCTATGTATTCCTTACCTGTTTTTACTAAAAACATTATTATTTCCTTTTTTTACTAACAATCTTTCAAATACATATATTAAGATACAATTAGAAATATAACTAAATCACAGTAACCATTCAATTCAATAAATATATAACCTTAGGTTCTTACCATTTTATCCAACTAGGGTTACTTACCATCTCCATTTTTATTTTACTATTTTTATTATTTCTACTACTGGTATCGTTGGGGGCTCATAGATCCCTCACTACACATGGGTATATAAACATTTCCTTTATAAATTATTGGTCATCTCCATACTCCGTCTAGTAATGGACGCAACAATCAAAAATTATCTCAATACCTCGTCTGGTATGAGCATAATTGTTTAACTCCCAACCCCTTCTGGTATAGGACTTCCCAACCTCGTACGACTGAAGCACCTACAGTAGGGTTCACCCTATGTACCAAGTCCATACACTCTTTTCTATGATACCTGTAGGCCTTTGATTCATGTTATTATTTTATGCATATATATATCACTGTTATTCAAGAAATCAATAGTCGTGAGATCGTATATTAAATTGGAAAAGAGCGTGTAATTCATGTTTTGGTACCCAATAAGGATAAAACTGTAAATAATAGTGAAACAAGGTGGCAAAATAGGATAAAATTTTCTATATAAATGATAAAATCAAATTAATAAAATAAGGTGAATACAGAATAGAATAAAATATAAGAATAAAGCGGGAAGGGATAAATTAGAACAAAATAACACAAAATAACAAAATGGAATAAAATAAATCACAATGATCCAAGATAAATGATTAATATGTTGATTCTATATTAATATAATGAAATAAGGATGAAAACAGAATAGATTAACAGAATGGAAATAAATAAATAAAATAGATAAATAAATAAAAATTGAAAGATAATAAAATAAAGAAAATGAAAACAAAAGTAAAAATACAAATGAAAATAGAGAATGACAAGTAAAAATAAAACTAATAACGGACAAAAAAATCAAATCGATTCACTAACTCCATCGGCAACCTCTAACTAATAATTGAATAATAAACAAACGGGCTTTGATTTAACCGTAACAAAGGAAATGTATTCTTACTTTGAATCAGAGGCCAAAATATTGTCTCTCTCAATTACGATTCGTGGCAACTCTCGACTCTCGAATTTTTCAGTTTTCTGGTGGAATTAAGAAGTATGTACTAAAATAATGTGAAAATACTTAAAAGGTGGTGAAAAAGGAGTGAGAAAAACTCACCAGGGCCGATTTGGGGTTTGGGAACAACGACGCAACTGAGCTCTGCTGCCTGGTTCTCCTTCTCTGATGTTTTTCTCCCTCGGTTACGTTGAATTCTAGTGGGATTACGGTCAAAATCAACTTAAAACGTGAAAGAGAAGTGTTTTAC